TAAATAACATTAAAATTATCATAATTTTGAAAATTATTTAATAAAGTAATAAAGTTCAAAATTTCCATAATTTTAAGTAAATTTTCAAAAGTTTGATGTTTCTGTTAAAGAAATTTTGTAATTTCAACAAAAGTACATAAAAAAATCAATAAGAAAATTATTTTTCAGGGAAAGAAATTTAAGTGATTGAATAACTTATTGATGTGGAATATTATTCAAGATCCTGTCAAAAATATAAAGATTAGAAAATTATTAATTTGTAGCAGTGAAAGCCGGTTTAAATAATTAAGATCGTTAATTGATTTAAGAGTAATCAACTAAGGATCTTATAAATAAAAATATCATTCGATATATCATCGGAGAAGTTCCCTGTTAATAGAGACCACTCCAATGTGATTTTCTAAATAAAAAGATTAAATGAGCTTTCCTTCGTGTAACTTAAGGAAAGGCTCTCTAATAATTAATTAATTTCCCTAGGATAAATATGACTTATCATTGGGATCTTATAAATAATTTAAAGTAGCTTACATTAACCAAAAAAAAAACACAAAAAATCGAGTGATGTACTCCTCCTCTTTTTACACGTATTAAGGGCCTTTAGATCATACAGGCCTACCTAAATTCTAACTTTTGCTAATTTTATTATTTGTTTTTTAACTCTTTTTAAAAAAAAAAATATTTCTTCAGTTCTTAAATTATGATTCTTTAGTTTATCTATTTAAACCTTTTTTCTGAAAAAAAAAATTGATAAATAAAAACAATCTAAAATCCTCCAATTTTAATATAATCTTAAATTTTATCTATCAAAAATCAGCAATCGATAATAAATAAAAAATTGAAAATATGACCCCACTTTTGTACCTAAATTTATTGGCCCATCCTAGTAATATCAAATAATAAATAAGTAATAAATATACATAAAGATAAAAATAGTAAGTAGTAGGAGGGCTGTAATGGTGCAAGTATGAATCAAACCAAAAATTGTATATTAAATTGTCTCTTTATATAAAAATAGGAATAATAAATTCATTCATTCCAATTTAGCTAAACGAATAGACTTATCGTAACTACCAGATGCTAAAGTATTGCCATCAGGAGATATACATACTGACATGACAGTACTAGTATGATCATCTAATTTAGTTTTTTATTATCCCATCTTAACATCCCATACACGGATAGAGTTATCATCACTTCCGGATGCTAAAGTATTACCATCAGGAGAGAAACAGATTGTGTAGACATAATCACTATGACCAACTAATTTCGTTTTTTATTATCCTGTCTTAACATCCCATAAACATATAGTTTTATAATGACCAGATGCTAAAGTATTACCATCAGAAGCGAAACAGACTGAGTAGACAAAACTATCATAATCTAATTTAGTTTTTTATTATCCCGTTTTAACATCCCAAAATCGAATAGACTTATCTAGACTTCCAGATGCCAAAGTATACCCATCAGGAGAGAAACAGACTGACCAAACCCTATCTATATGACCATCTAGTTTAGTTTTTTATTATCCGATCTTAACATCCCATAAACGAATTGACTTATCATGGCTACCAGATGCTAAAGTATTACCATCAGGAGAGAAACAGACTGATTATATTTCCTCAGTATGACCATTTAATTTAGTTTTTTATTATCCTGTCTTAACATCCCATAAACGAATAGATTTATCATGACTACCAGATACCAAAGTATTACCATTAGGAGAGAAACAGACAGATAAGACTTCCCCAGTATGACCATTAAATTTAGTTTTTTATTTTCCTGTCTTAACATCCCATAAACGAATTGACTTATCATGGCTACCAGATGCTAAAGTATTACCATCAGGAGAAAAGCAGACTGAAACTACTTCCCCAGTATGGCCATTAAATTTAGTTTTTTATTATCCTGTCTTAACATCCCATAAACAGATAGACTTATCAGCACTACAAGATGCTAATGTAGTACCTTCAGAGAAGCATACTGAGTAAACTGTATTGTCATGGCCATCCAGTTTACTTATTTGTTGTCCGGTCTTTACTTCCCATATAAGAATAGACTTATCATAGCTACTAGATGCTAAAGTCAATCCATCTTTAGAGAAGCATACTGCTGAAACCCAATCAGTATGGCCACTTAAATTAGCTTTTTATTATCCTGTCTTCACATTCCATAATCGGATAGATTTATCTCCACTACCAGATGCTAAGGTAGCACCATCAGGAGAAAAACAGACCGATCTCACATAATGTTTATGACCATCCAGTTTGGATTTTTATAATCCTCTCTTAACGTCCCATAAACATATAGAGTTATCATGACTACCGGATGCTACAGTTGTACCATCAGGAGAGAAGCATACAGATTGAACCCATTGAGTATGACCATCCATTTTAAATTTTTATAATCCCGTTCCAACATCCCATAAGCGTATGGAGTTATCCAAACTACCAGATGCTAATGTATTGCCATCAGGAGAGAAGCTTATTGATGTGACTAAATTATCATGACCAATTAATTTAATTTTTTATTATCCTGTCTTAACATCCCATAGATAGATAGACTGATCAGCACTACCGGATGCCAATGAATTACCATCAGGAGAGAAGAATACTGAGTAGACTGTATCACTATGACCAGTTAATTTTACTGTTTATTAACCTGTTTTGACATCCCAAAAACGGATAGACTTATCCCAACTTCCAGATGCTAATGTAGAACAATCAGGAGAGAAGCATATCGATATTACACAATCTCTATGACCATCCATTCTATTCAATTCATGAACTTTTTTGCTTTTTTGGATTGACATTAATAAGAAACTTTATTAAAATTATTTATGATTTTTATTGTTAGTGTTTAAATAAAAAATGATGCACTAATGCTTAATTGAGGATCGAAAATTCTAAAATTCCTAAAGATAATTTAAGAGAATTGTTTTTATAACAAACCTTTTTTTACAATTACTCCAAGGTACAAATACTCATCCATTAATGTTCTATTTTATTTTATTCTGATATGTCTAAAGAAGGATAAAGATTACTATGCTATTTAAATATTCTTGAAAGTTCTAATAGTGATTTTGATAACTACTTATCTAGAACTACTTTTATCTCAGCTATCATCATCTCACAACCTGTAAACTTATATATATCTGGGTGTTGATGTCTCTAATAATTTTGATAATTGCATGTTTTTAAATAATCTCTTCTCCGCAATATTATCCAAAACCACTAAATTTATTTCCCTTCAAATTATATTCTCCATTATAAGTGGTTTTTTTAAGATAATTAAATCATTCATCTAGCTCAATCTATTATTTTTAACTAACCTTTTTATAAAACCCACAACCATTAAACAATTATTAAAATAATATTATCATCTCATTTTAACAAATATGATCTCATTTTCAGATTCTAAAATCATTCTAATATTCTCCATTTTCAAAAACTTATGATTAGCTAATGTTAAATATTCTTAAGTCTAATAATTTTAAAAAGATCTACCCATATCTGATACTATCTCTCACTTTTCATATATTCTTTTTGGATAAAAAGTGGAATATTAATACACTTTTTTATATCATCATTTAGCATAATATAAAAGCAGTAACTTCTAAGTCCAAAATTGAGTTTTTTGTTTCAATTTGCTAATTTCACATTCTTCAAAAAACCATAAAACATATATCTGTTTCTCAACTTTTATTACTATTTATAGACACCTAATATTTTAAAACAATGAGACTACTATTATAAACTTAAATGAACAGAATGGTATCATAAGCTAAAGAAAGTCATTTAATGAGTAAAATTATGAAAAATAAGTTTTGTTCTCTAACAATTATATTAAAAATAAAATTATACAACATCTGCAATAGTGTAATTATTGATGTTTAATTGTATTCTGAAAATACTGAAGAACTTAACAAAAGTTTCTAATAAAATTCCAGGAAAAAAAACATCATCTTCACTTAATTATCGATATAATTCTAAATTTACAAATCTTATATAATATTATTATACAAATTCTTCATTACTGATTGGATTAAATCAAATAAAATTAAAATTTTAATTATTTTTGCAAATGAGCATTAATAGGGCTAAAAGATAATGTTGGAGTGCTAAAATCATTTTAATAGAAATTAGTTATAGAGATTTAAATATTTTAGAATATCAAGAATATTTTATATTCAAATTTTTATCCTGATATAAAATACATTTATTTTTATATTTATTATAGGTTGTAGATTGAACAGGTAGTTATTATGTTATTAAATATTTAATTTTAATTTTACTGAAATAATTAAAGAAACTTACCACAAAATGTTGATTAATATGAAATTTTAATCAATTATTAATAGGATTTGATAACCAAAATAACATAATTTGATCTGTTATTTCAAAATCAGTGAATATGTTTCCATATATTTGGTATTTCGATGATTAAAATAGTATCATCCTATCCACAGAATATTGCTTATTTTATTTTTATTAAAATCAAAAGCATACACTTACTACTTTGAATTATATATGTTTGATACATATTTAAAAAGAGTAACTATAATATATCAATACAGTAAAAAATATCAAATGAATTAATTTGGATATAAGTTTATTAATTTTATTTAGATAGTATAAGAGAAATAACATTCAGGAATTTAATTAAATAACTTATTAAAAATTAATAAGAAATTATTTCTTAAAATGATTTGAATATCAATAGTTGATAATTTAAAATTGAATAATAATTAATTATATGCCATTATTTAATTAAGATAAAAATTTATCAATGATCTGATAACAATTAGGAGTAATTAGTGTAAATTATCAAGTTAAAATAAAAAAAAAAATTTTTTTATATTTATTTGAAAATTTATCAAATTATATCAAATTAAACTAAAATTTTTTAATTTAGACTTGCTGATAATGTTCTGCGAAAACTTTTCAACTGCTCTAAAAAGTACAGTTTGGCTTTGGATAGTGCATAGAATAGATGTAGATGTAGAGATAGAGATTGTTAAGATTTTACTAGAACAACTCCTGCTGAATGTTAATCCTAAAAAGCTGGAAGATGTGCAAGAGTTTAAATTTATGAATAAATTACAAATATTTGTGCTTGTATTAAAGATACTAAAGAACTTTGTGTTCGGATTAACGATTGTATTAGCAGCGATGTATAAAGGAGCTTGCTCCTGATGTGAATCATTTAAAGCTTAAGTTTGGGTACATGTACTCAATGTAAAAGGATAATAACGCACAACAAACGGATCAAATTGTATTTGAATTACTTTATATTCTGAAACAAATATTGATTGCGGATTTGATACAGGTTAGGATGGAGCTTGTCACTCAGATTCTTAGATTGATAAATAGAACCATAGTCTAAACATTACTCTTTATGGATTAATATTGAATTTTATAAACAAAGTTGAATTATTATAGTCATTATTTTCATTTCTTACTACAAAAATAAATAATTTTATGTTTAAATTTATGATACTCTCAAAACATAAAAATTAACCCAAAACAGTATGGAAAATAGAAATTTTTTTGGATGCAAGAAGGAAAGTTTAATAAAATTTTATAATTTAAGGTTTGAATTTTTTTTGGATAAAAATAATTGTTTTTATTTTTAGACTTAATTAAATTAGATGGTTATTTGTCATTTCAAATTTATTTTAACATTTTATTTGAAATTTAAGCTAATCATTTTTTTAATTAAGTTGTAATTGTTGTGTTATTAAAACTAATTTTGGTTCAATTGTGAAATGAGCAGATTATAATATAAAAAATAGCTTAATAACATTTATGCATTTAAGAATAAGTATAGTTTGTAAATCTTTAGATTTAAATAATATTAAGGAATAATTATATTCTTTTGATTATTAATTCTATTTTATCTCATTAAGGATAATCATTTTATTTTCTTGCCGTGCTTTTCTCTAGTTGTTTTTTTTATTTTATCACTTTCTATATTTTATTCTTCCAAATATCTTTCTTTAGCTAACAATATATTCTATCCTAACCTCTAAAAATGAGGAATTTTACTTTTCATTTCAATATCTTTTTATTTAATTTTGAGAAAGCTTTGTAAAAAAAATGATTTTATATTTACCAAAAAGAGATTAGATCTTTTAATCAAATTAGGTATGATTATAAATATAAGCAAAAATAAAAAAGCAAAAAAGTATAATATGAATTAATGTGGTAAATTTTTAAACCCCTTACTTTAGTGATTAACTCTCTATTACTCTAATCTATTGATCTCCTTAAAATATTTCCTATAATTCAAATATATGATTTATCCATCATCATTAACAACATAGAAAGAAAGTTTTTTCTCTTTAGAATTCCGCTTTATTATAATAGACTTAATTCTATCTACTTTATCTACTTCTGATGATAAACTGTGAGGGTGACTCTTCAAAAAATCTAAAATAAAAGAAAAATCTTTATGTTTAATAGTTTCTTAGTCCTTATATCGTGTTAATATCGTTTCAATTTTTTTCTCCAATTGAGCATAAGAATTAAAGCATTCCCCAGCTATTTAAAAAGGAATTTTATGATTCATATCAATATATAAAATTTTTATTAAAATTGAATTATCCAAATTATCTGATTCGAAAGATCATTATGTCGAAGATTAGCAAGGGTTGAATTTGCCCACTAGTAGGTTTCTCCCGCACACACATGGTGTTGGATACTCTAACTTTGTTATTGAATCTCCTATACTTATTACAAAACTAAATTCAATTAATTAATATCTAAAAGAATCTAATATTATGTAATTATTACAGTTCAATATCTCAAACAAACATTAATTATGAATATTCATCCATCACAATATTAATATTCTCTAGATAAATACTCATAAAAATCAAATTACTTAACTAATTATTGGTTTTCCAATCCTTTAATATTATTCTAATAATAAAGATTATGAGTTCTGATTGAAAGACTAGTCTATAAATCTTAAGGCTTTAAAATAAAACTCTTAATTTTATGTGCAATTAATGAATCATATCTATCACAGAAAAATGTTAAATGATTATAATCTAGTTATGTTTAATTAAAATTTTCACAAATCTCATCATAATATCATGATAGTAGTTCCCTAAATAAATTAAATGCGATTTTAAGAAGAATAGATTTGGATTCACAACAAAGTTGGTTATCTTTTCAAATTCAATTATTTAAGAATGCGAGGCTGAATCTTAATACTTAAGAATCAAATGAGCAATAGTTTATTTTTTAAATAGATAGAAAATTTCTATTATAGTAATCTATCAGGTTTTTATTTTTAAATTTCTGATACAATTAGTGAATTTCTATTAGATAAATTTAAACATGTTGAATTAATAGAAATTAATTTTATAATTTAATATAATTATGATTGAAAATGAAAAAGATTTCTCTTGTTCTTAATAACACAACCTTCTAATAATTTCAATTTTGCTTAATCCAAATAAAACTAGAGAATGGAGATTCCTTTGCCAATAATGCTTAGCATATGGAGAATATGATTGACAAGTGTTAGGATTACAGAAAACTATTGAATTAATTTAACAATAATAGACAGAGAAGTTCAAATTAGTACAAGGAATAATTAATCAACCTATTAAAACAATTCAAAAGTTATTTTTGAATAAGTTTAAAAATTGAAATCAAAAGTCTTTGAGTAATTTGAGGAATTGATAAATCTAATAAATGATTGGATTTCTGTTCTATAAGAAAAAGAAGCAATCTATTCTAAATTTAGTTTCTACAAAGAGTTAGAAAATTTACTATCCAATCCTAAAGAAAAAATACAATAATTGGAGTAAGAAATTTAGATAGTTAATTATTGTTATAATTACAAGGTTTTTAATAAAATAAAATATTTTAATCAGTTTTAAGAATGTGAGAGTTATTTCTAACACTTAAAAATTTTAGAATAAGATAATTAACAATCTAATTAGGATTTATAAAATTTAGAATAACAAATCCTCAAACAGTCAAAAATAAAACTCAAATAAAAAATATAAAAATAGGAAGGTGAAATCAACTTTAATTTAATTGATTAATCTGTTGATGTGATGCAATTGCTTTTAATTCTTCTGGGACAATTATGATATCAAATCAAGGAGAAAATATTAAAGTTTGGAGTTTCAATAAAGGATTTATCAATCCAATCACAACTTTAAAAGGATATAGTGATTGGATTAATTGTTTAATTTTTAGTAAGAAGCAAGATTCATTTTTTCAGCTTCTGGTGATTATACTATTAGATGCTGGAAAAAATAAATTAAAATGATTGGATTTGTTCATAACCTTAATAAAACCATAGGGATATGGTGATGTGCAACATTATAAATTCAAAAGAGGATTAGTTGTTTTCTGGTAGTAGATTTAAATAAGAATAAATTGACTTATTGTTATTAATTAAAAAAACACAATGCCAAAGTTATTGCATTAAGGTTAAATTAATCGGAAAATTTTTTAGTATCATTCGCAGTTGATAAGGATTCAATTATTTTATGGGAGAGGAACTAAAATAACAAGTTTGAATTTAAATATGTTTTTATAATTGCTGAAATTTTGAAAATTTTAAGTAATAATAAAAAATTGAATTCATATTTATTAACTAATTCATCTATAAATAGTCAATTTAAGCTGAAGGACTAAAACTTAAGTTTATAAAAGATTCATAGTTTATATGGATAACGATAACAGGGGGTAAGGAATTAGATTAAGTATGGGTGTTTGAATTAGAGGAAGGAATTTTTTAAGAAAAAAAGTAAAAAACTATTGATTTAAGCAGAAATAATTAAGTTATTGATGAATTTCTTTTTCCAATAATTTACAATAAATAGAGGAATTAGTTATTCATAAGACATAAAACAATCATATATGTGATTAGGGTTTGGGTTTGGGGTTGGGGTTGGGGTTGGGGTTGGGGTTGGGGTT